TTTCTCTGTCCCTATATCCATATGTATGCTTATATCTTTAAAACTACGCAATGTATTTTGATGCGGTTTTTTCATAGATAAGGTGAATCAAAAGGAAGGTTTTTATGTATAGTACAAGACCACGTGGGTGAAGCCGCTGGCGTAATTTTGGTGTAATTTGTATTGTTAATATTGATTTTAAGCAGCTTTCTGGGTTTTTAGGTCCTGTTTCTAAATTGAATTGTTCTGAGTTCCCAAATTAACAACCTAATTTCTGAAAGTTTTGGTTTAGGCAGAGCCGGCTCCATGAAACTTGGCGCCCTAGGCAAAACTCTAAAACGACGCACATGAAAAAATTACAAAAAAAAAAGACTAACTTAGGTACACTAATTAAAGAGTGTTATTTTGTTAATTAACCTTTAACTACTGATTTTCGTGTATGCGCTTCCTTGACACGTCATTTTAAGTGTTTAGAAAAAAATATAGGTACCTTTTTTCATAGATAATCTATAAACATGTTAAAACAACGAACTGCTTTTTATTTATACATACCTAAAACTATATTGAATTTCAAAAACAATGCAAGCGGATCTGCACACCACGAACGAACATACTTACATAAATAATATCAAAAAGGGATCACTAATAGTGCCCATATATGGTGAACGAAGAAACAATGTTATTATACGGTTACGCATGAATCATAAACAGCGTAGGAGATATTTTGCTAAAAAGTTCAATCTTAATACACAACAAAATAGAAGCTATTTTCCAATGAAAATTATGAGTAGTACACCTTTGGGTGTATATTTATTATCGGTCCACAACAAAACATTAACCAAAGATGCCACAATCTATTGGTAGAAAAATATTTTTGCATAATCATACTAATTTTGGTTTCGGGCAATTATGTGGGAGCAAATTTTTTCTATATGGTGTGAGACATTTCTTTGTAAGGGAATACATTATTGGGTAACCAAATAAAGAACGGTTTACACTAGCTATATGAATTTTTAATGATCTTGTTAGTTATCTAACATGATGTAAAAGTAAACACCGATCGTATTTTAATGTTTTACTGATAAAAATATCATAAAAAATGCAAGTAGTAACCTACTCCTGATTTAATTCACATTATTTTTTTTAATATACGAGTATTTATATCAAGACAGGCAATCTTTCTGTCAATGCTTATTCTGTGTCCGTTCGACTCTCTAGAGTTGAAAAATCATCTATCTCAAAGTATTTACTTACTTAGTAGCACTAAGATACTATTTTTTAGATATCATTTTCTTAATTAACTACATTTACATTTTTTACTATTAACACAATTATAAATACAAAGTGAAGGAAATTATTTCCTTAATATTTAAATTAAAAGATATTATTTCTTAATATTTATGAATGATCGCAATGTATATGTCACAATAAAATACCTACGCGATAGTAAGTGTTTGATGAAAGAACACAATGTCCAATATTTCCATTCTCCATTTAGAGCTCATTTGCTACGCCTTATACGATGCGGTGTTAACATGTGATAAAATATATCACCTCAATTGGTCGAAAATCGTATGTATTTTGAATTTGAAAACAAAATACCACAGGCACAGCTTATTATGCACTATACTTAATAATTTTACCTATACGATGAATATTTGTGCAAGGCACGAGCGGAAATTCAATTAAAATATTTTCTGTAAGCCCTTAAGCAGATCATTGAAGTTGGTTCATACCTTTAAAGACAAATACATAGTTAAATATTTAGAAAGTATTAATTTTATTGTTGTTGTTAAATGTAAATTAATTTTCTTATGGAAATCTGAAACAACGAAGGTATATAACGCATAGACCCAAAACAATCCAGAAAATTTCATCTTTACATTTCATTGACTCGTCCGGGAACCCAACCCTAGACCTCAGACAGTGTTTGAGCTACTTGGTCACGGCGGTCGTCTGATTTATCTATTCTCAAACATGTCACTCACTCTCACTCAATTTGACAAAATATGCGAATGAGATGTACACACACACAATGTGTGTCATCTATACAAATCGGTAGTTTGTTTGTCCATTGTGTTACTTACAGAAAGACTTTTGTAGCGGTATCTCTTTTCTAGTATTATTAACATTGAACATACCGGGTGAATTTAACAAATCAACTTCAGTATCTCTCATTATAAACTAGTCGAGGGGTAATGAAATAATATACCGATTACGTCACTTCAAGTATGTGGGTACTTCAAATAGTGACAAATCAACCCCCTTTAGACTGGAAAGCGTAAAACTATATAATTATTCTGTGTTAAGTTAAAACTAACAACAAAAAAGAAAGATCCAAAACATGAATAAATACCTACTTAATAACGTCATCTCGATAGGAAAAAAAATCATATTTTTTTTTCTATCGATTTAGGTTTCCGTACTTAAAACTGGACCCTGTTACAGACTCCGCTGTCCGCTCGTCTGTCACCGGGCTACATCTCTCATGTGAATGTTCTACAGTTGAAATTTTGATAGAAGATACAACAGAAATACCTACATTTCTGTTGCCGCTATACTAACAAATATTAAAAACCGAATAAAATAAATATTTAAGGGGATTCCCGTACATACAGTTGACGTATCCCATATTTATATGTCTTCCCAGAGACCTAATTATTAATAAGAATTCCAAAAGTTATGCAAACGAACGTCATTCTAATATGACACACAGCCATCCCGCTTATATAACTCAAATTGCATTGCGCTCGTGTAAGATTTAGGTAGATATGGAAAATAACGACCTACTCCACCGTGTGTGGTTTCATTTATCAAAGTGTTTTTATCTCGACTATTTAAGAATATGCTCAGGCATTAACTAAGTAAGTAAGAAATGTATATGATCTGAATCTGTTATCAACTATTTCAGTTACAGTGTTAGCACACCGGGGTGTCTTTGAATAAATAGTTTCACAAAACAGTGACGCTTGCTAATGAAACACTTTTTATAATAAAAATACTATCATTAGTATTTTATAAAATTGGTATTATTAAAAAACTTTTTTCAGTAAATGGAACCGACTTCGCATTTGAAAACGTGAAAAATAATACTTATCTTAAAAGCGGTTAAATGTTTTAAGAAACATTCATTTTAGTAATATTTTGAGATTTGGGGTAACAACCATGATATACTTAATGCAAATTTAAGACTTATATGGTTTTCTCATAGAATACATTGCCAGATCTAGACCAAATTAAAATGGGACAACACGACAAGCACTAGCTTTCAAATAAAGAAATAATCATTAAAATCAGTCCACCCTGTAAAAAGTTATGTGGTACAAACAAGAAAAACATACCGATTAATAAACAAATAGAATTTTCTTTAAAAACTTCAAAGAAATGTAAATTATGAACTTTTTAAATTGAAGTATTCAATTGTTTCCGGCCTCAGCCTGACACCCCATACTGATAGAGCAATTGTTTTTTTACCTTAGCCCTGCGATTCTGTAAAAATCCTAAACCGAATTCGAATTCACTCATGTGTTTTTACATAATCGCTCTGTAGCTTACGAATTTCTTATGAACGTGCTTTAATTAGGGGAAGAAGAATTTTATGAAATAACCCTTTCTTACCTTTTGAAGTAGGTTTTATTTAATTGATCCTCTATGATATGACAATGTTGATTATACTGCAGAATAGCAACAATCATTGAGATGGATAAATGAGGTCACATTTTGGCAAGGCCGGATCTAGGGGGCCAAGTGGGGGCTTTTGTCCCGGTGTCAGGGGGGAGACGCCAAAATTATCATAATATAAAAAAAAGTTTCACATATACGGATGTGTTTTCAAAGTCCTTAAATGAAATAAAACCGCGCATTGGAGCGCAACATCAAGTTTCTGGCTCTGTTGGAAAAAATCATAGATACGGGCCCGCATTTTGGCATATTGCGAAATAGAGCATTGCAATTTAAGAATTAACCCAATTGTACCCCTCGACAGTATATGTGAGTCAATTTCCTCAATAGCAAAAAGTAAAATGAAGTAACATAAAAAAATTGGGGGTTTTCATTTGAAAAAAAAACTCATTTCAATCTCAAGACAGCATTTTGCGTTACGAATTACAGATTATTTGATGTTTGTTTTTTTAAGAACATTGATAATTTCAAAAACATTCATGTAAAATATTAATGAATTAATTTCCTTAATCATACTTAAATTAATCAGCTAATCTGACTTAAAGAAAGCTTCTCTAACTTACAGACTGGAATACTCAGAATTCTACATACAAATTAGGAAAGCCTGTATTTATCCACCAAATTAGTAAAAGTAAGAAATATTATACAATCGACACTCTTATACTAATTACGTAATAACTTATGCTTTACAAACAGGGGTTATATTTTATGACTTATTTAAAATCAAAATCTTGGTAACGGAAATGGGACAATATCCATTTATAAACGCGCAGAGAATTGTAGAACATTCTTGTAAGAAAATAGTCATCGTGCGATAAAGTATTTAGTTTTAGCTATTTTCAATGATAAAAATATTACTTTTAGTATTAGTTTACATATATTTATTTAGATAACTTAGTTTGTATTTCTTTTTTGTTATTTACTTACGTCAAAAGTTGTAATTGGTTTGGCCTTATAGTACGTCTACTTTCATACGATAAACTACTTTTTATAGTAGTGCCGACCTCATTTGACCTCTATCACAATATAGTGAAATTATTTCTTACGTAAATAGGTATATGTCATATATTTATTTTAATATTAACCGTAATTAATATTATGTAAATATTTTTTATGAATACATATTGATTATTATTAATTCTGATAAGTTTACTAATTAATTTAAATGTGTTAAACTAAAAATTTGGAGATTGATTAACTCTCGTGTGCATTCGTGAATAAACTAATCAATAACCTATGAGTTCAGGTCGAGCGATAACCGATAGCGGTGACGTAAAAAGCTTATCATCGACAACGTAGAGGAAATGGCGGGGCGAAATAAAAAAAAAACAAGTATTTACCTCCACCTTCAGGCAGCATTGACATCCAAATCCTTTCAATTTATCACTGCACAGGTAAACATGGTATCACAGCGTATCACACCACAATGCACTGGTTGCAGAGAGTTATCAAGCGCGCGCCTGCGCCAGCGCCGCTAATCTAAATACAGACAACGCGGCCCCAACCAAAATCGCTCGTATTACTTTCGGTTTCCATACGGCCTAAATTTAGAGGCCAGTTCGAAAATAAAAACGTTTTTTACGTGTTTTTTCACGAGCATTAGACGGGAATAGAGCGTTTGGCAGGCTTGCCTGTTGTGCTAGAGACGGGAGAGCGCGCGAAATCCGAGATTGGTGCCTTATTTGGCAACCGCGCGGCGATCACAAACGCATTTGGGTATTTAGTTTCTGTCGGCCGGTGCGGCTATTTCAGCCGTCGGAAGCGAACATATCGGATGCTGCACCACTGTTTGCCTTGTACGGCTGCGGGACGTGTACTTATTTACGATTATACTCTCACGGCTATTTTTAAGCGAACACCGAACGCCTTATATGGTTAATATTTTTCAATTTCTACGGCGTTCACAATTCGAGTTACTATATTTTTGTTTCAATATAGAATCTTCTGTATGTATTATTACCTACTATGGTACTTCATACATTTAATAGCAAAAATAATAATGACATAATGGCATTAATGCGAAATCAAGCTGAATTAGTATTCGTAAAAAAACGATAATGAAATCATGCTTTCATTTTATCTGGACGTCCTCTTTTAATGTGATCAGTTGTAAGAAAACAAAAATAAACATTCTGCTAAAGTATGCGTAGATACGAATGAGCAATTTGTAACAGTCGGTGTGTTGATTTAATATCTATAAAAAAATTATATTGAGAATAGTCCGCTTAATTTTCTCAATGGAAGCCAGCAAATGTAAAATGTTTATCTTATTATCTATTAAGCTTATTAAAATGACCGATGTCTTATTTTTCGTAGATACCTACTGACCTGGTATTTTAAATATTTACGATGTTGTTTAGCGTAATTATGTGCTAATGAACTAACCTGATGGCGCAGTGATGAACGATTACTGAAGTTGGCTGTCTTACGCTGAGGCTGGTTATATGATGGGTGACCAAAAATTTAGATATTGAGCACCTCATGATTTTGAAAATACTGCCTCTACCCGTTGGCTTCAGCTGCATTCACCGATATCCACTTAGCTCACTTAGTGGTTCATGGCCCTTTATGTCTAGTGGGAAGTCCTGGGGTGCGATCGCTAAACTCTTTAACCATAAGATACTCGTACGACTTCTGGGCGATGTTATTTCGTTTCATTTTACTACTTTGACATAACTTTTTGGGGCATAAACGACTGAATTCGTAAAACTGCTTTCAAATACATAATTATCATTCTTTATCATTAGTACGTCGAAATAGTACATATCATAAGTACATAAGAACCTACTAGATGTCTAGTAGAAAAAATACATTAATCTACATTATCGTATTAAATGAGCGCTTTCTTGGAAAAATGAAAACATGAAAGAAAGCAAAAATGAAAGCATAAGTAGCAAAATAGAGTATTTTACCGGTTTAGAGTTACTTACTCTTATTTATTCATTTCACATACAATTTCACATGAACAAATGTTACAGACATTAGTACTGCTTATTTCAAATTGAAATATTTCCCAGCAGGTCCACAACGGGAAAAATAATACAACAAGGTAGTCAGTATCTACCTCTTAAATAAAATTATTATGGAATGTATAAACAAATCAAATACTGGGAAAGAGATAAGTAAATATAAAAAAAAGAACTTACATAGCTGTGTAAACATTAAGTATACAAATAATATTAACATTATATATTAAGTTCTACACTCTCCAATATCCACAAGAAAAAAGGTAACGATCCTTCACTGTTTTTTGAACAAAGAAATAGTGCGATTGACAGGTAGAGTACCAGAGTCTAGTAGCGTAAACAGTGTAAGAATATGAAGCAAAATCTGTTTTGTGTAAATGAGTCCGAAAAATGGACAGGTGGAATCTGCAAAGAGCATCAGAAGAATGAAGAAAGGAGAAACGCTCACGCAGTTTGGAAGGATAGACGGGATTATACAGAATGTTGAACATAAGGCAGACAATCCTGTCATTTGTCACGCTGGCGAATATGTAGCCACATGAGCTGCTTACGTAAATGTCACACGAAGACCATAAATAAATCTAATCGGTAGATTTTCATGTCGATATAGTTTGTTTAATAATTCCTCAGTGGCATCCAAGTAACATGCATCAGCATAGTCAAGAAGAGGTATAAATATAGTTTTTTTTTTTTTTCAATATTATTTTTTAGATAATTTCACACAAAGCCAGCTTAGGTAAATGAGAAATATCAATGTTACTAATATATTATAAAATGTAATATGCATTAAATAAATACTAATAAACTCTATATTTTTTAAATTGTTAAAATTAACTAATAATTACTTGTATCAAAAAGGAATATTGATACAAGTAATTATTAGTTAAATTGGTTAAAATATAACAAGCATAGAATTTTTATCATTAACATTTAATTAATACGTATGTAATTTACAAAACTTTGCGTAATGCGAATAACTCATTAAAATATGAATATATTATTTCAATTTCATTGAATCGGTTTGTAATTCATGTCACGGTATAACCTAATACAGAAAGATCATTGACCTCTCTGTATTTGGTTATGTTATCTGTGTTTTAATTTACTTTTTACTAGCTTTAGCTGTTATCAGGAAAAATATATATTCACTTTAATATTCGTGTTTTTTATAAGTTTTATCTGCGCTGTTTGTCTATTTTATAACATTTCGTTACATTTGTTTCAAAAATCAATTGCAAAGGAGTTATACCGTACAGCCAAGCATTAGCTGCAACTGCATGTCATAATTAATTTTACGGCTGAACGACTAGTGTTATAGTTGCGAAATTATTGTTATAAAATAGATACAGCTTTTCTTAATTGACTGGCAATCACCGTATTAAGATCGTGCGATAATATTGCATATTTGCATCTGTGTTATAGTGAGTACTTAAGTATAGCTGAACTATGAAACGACAAACTCGCCCACACCGAGCGAGCGACCTAATTTGAACCGGTAGGAGGCAACTCGAATGGAGATTTACTTTGACAATCATATTTTGGTACTTATTTATCACAGAGACAGCATCAAATATTGAAATTACTATAAATTTTGCTATTTACGGACTACAAAATCGAAAAGGAGGAGGTTATATATAGTAATATTAAATTTATTTCTGTATTTAGTACGAAGGAATTGAAAAGATCGGCTTAAATAAAATAAAATTTACTTGATTATATTTTTCTAGTTCTTATTTGGGTGACTGTACGTTGAGTATGTTCGAAAGTTCCATTCTCTGAGTGCGCAAACATAGCAGATTAGGGACATTATATTACACCCCCGCGTTGTTTTCACATCACAATGTATGATGTTACTATGATATTCCTTTCATAATTGTTTATTGTAAGCAAATTAACAAGTCGCGTAATGTGTTTCTTGCGTATTATAGTTAGATAAACGTATCTAGCTACTTACTTGGAGAAATGGACGTGATATAACGTATGAAAAAATTTATCATAATTGATGGACTTCGTTGTAGTTTCTTCACGAATCCTTCGTACTAGAAATTAAATGTTATCGATTGATTGCATATATTTAAAACCACAGAACTTTTTGTGTGTGTTTAAACCCCTAAAAATGAGGCAAATTACATGTAAGCCAGGCCCGGACCTACGTTTTTTATTAACCGGGGCAGAAGCTTTGTATGGCGGCCGACTATACCCCCCTCGCCCTACGCTAAATGAGGCTGGATTCCAGAACCTCGTTATTATATAATGATGATTTGGGCGCTTCCCAGACACTCGCGTCCGGGGCAAGTGCCCCCACTTGCCGCTCCTAGATCCGGGCCTGCAGGGTGATTCTGTAAAAATCCGTACCCGAATTCAAATTCACACATGCGTCCAAATTTAAGTCATGGAATGAAGAAATTCAATTAATCCCATTTGTTGTATAAAAATACAAAACAAAATTGATTGACTACACGTGTCTCTGATATTCTATTTCTATGTTACGAAACTAACATCACCTATGCCACGAAACGTTATTACCAATTTATGATTAAGCAGAGCTGCTTTATGAAGTGAATTCAGACACCTGAGTGAATTCGAATTCGGTTTTGGACTTTTACAGAATCGCAAGGCGTGATACAATGTGGAATCAAATTACATACGTCTATGAGCAATCTCCTTTACACCATTACACGTTGCGTCTAACACAACAATAACATTCGGTATGACATGGTCACCAATTAAGGTGATCTTATTGATTGATTCTGTACTGAGTGCCACCCACGTTGGCGGTCCTCGAACCCGCACCCCACGCGGTGGCGTGCACCGCTATCCGCAGTACATACTAGTTACTTATTGACTAATGTGATATGCGTTACACATATTTAGAAAGCATGTAGGCAGTATGCCGAAATAGAATACCTATTGGATATTTTTTTGTTAATTGACTAATGCTTCAGACGTGGTAGAGCCGGTCAGGCCTTCAGGACTACAGATTTCGTATCTATTCATAGTATAATATAAAGTCGCTTCCCGCTGTTTGTACACTGAGATCGCTTGGACCATATTATAACGGATATGGGAATAAGAATAAATCGTAAATGACGTTTTAGGCGTAACTTTAAATTTATATAACCTAAAATGAAAGCAAAGAAGATGGCGATGGGAATAGTCCATCGCCATTGCTTTCATTTTAGGTTTTGGCTAAAAAGGAGGGTAATATTCGAAATGTTTTTAAAATTTCATTAGAAGCATATCCGTGATGATTATCTGTGCATCAGAGCACCGAATGTATTTTCATCAGAGCAGTAGCAAGTCGTACTTAAGGTGCATTATGACATAAATTATCTAAAAATACGTTTTTGGAGTTATATTCGTCATCGTCAGCCCTTTTTACATGCCCACTGCAAGGGCTTAGCTTAAGGACGATTGACCATACTATAACTCGCCACGCTGACCAAATGCAGATTTTAAGATAGGAGTCATATTTAGCGTTACGAAAATATAGAATAGAAT